TATATATATATATATATATATATATATATATATATATATATATATATATATATATATAAAGTGTTTCCGAGCACTTTTGGTATTGGCGGCTGTCACGCGTTTCCTCTTTTCTTTTATTTGAAGAATGATTATATTTGTTATCTTTATGTGTACTGATTGGTTGTCTACTGTATGACTACTCCCTGGCTGTATCCCTTACGATGAGTAAATAGTTTTCTTCTCTGCGGGCTGAGTAGTTGTATACGTGGAGTAATGATTAACTTTCCCCTGTATGAATACTGGCTAGCTATCTGTCTGCATATTCATGTAGCGATATTATGGCTACCGATTAGACTACTGATTAGTTGTATGCATGTTCATACAGAAATATAAATCCGAACAATCGGCAGCTGTATGAACGGAAAGTGAATACATAGGAGCAGCTAGACACTGTGAGCATACGAGAAAAAATGCACGGTATCCATCATAAACTACCTGTTCTTTGCAAATGCTGTACCATGGTCTGTCTAATCTCGTTTCATAGAATTCAACTCCTCGAGGGCCAGTTCAATGTTCAACAATCATCTACAGTGTTACTGCATGCAACAAGGGGGGCTTGGGGGTTACTGCTTGCTGCGATGCCTTACAGCACCAGTTGCAGCAAGGAGTGCCTATTTACTCAGGACAAAAGTCTGTCTCCTCTGCTCCTTTCTTCACCCCTACCCGGCAACAGGCCCATAGGCCGCTGGGACCAGGCCACCCAGGCCACCTGGTGACTGGGGTGGAGGTCATCAGCTGCTTTTTGAAACGCACTAAATGTATTCTTTCTGTTGCAGCTAACTACTTCCTGGCTACGAACGAGAGAAGTCAACGGGACTGCTGGGCGCTCCCCTTCTTTATANTGCGTCGGCTGCGCAACTGATGCGCTGCCGGCCTACTTGCTGTATCGAGTTGAAAACGAAAAGCACTTTTACTTGTGCCGCCGCCTGAAAACATGATAAACATGATAAACAAGGATTTAAATACAAGCAAAAGTGAAGTGTTTGGGTGACGCGCTTACACCTGCATCTGTCCCCGCGATGAAAACGCATCAGTGCGCTGCGACGTGCATGCATGAAGTTGTCATCTATACATACATGCAAGCGAGGGGCAAATACACTATACTATATAATGCAATATATTTTCTATATAATAAATATTAAACATTTACAAATTATGGGCATAATTACCATAGATAATTGACTGAAGTGGGGTTCGAACCCACGCCCTTTCGGACTGCGGCCTAAACGCAGCGCCTTAGACCACTCGGCCATTCAGCCGATGACCTGGGCTAATCCCTCTACCTTTGTTCTGCTGTTACCACAACTATTTGTTTTCTTTTGTATGTTTATGTTCTTTTACCTGAATACTTGTCTAGAGGATTTTCTCCAAAAAGGGAGAAAATCCGCCTCTCTGCGGCTGAGTCCAGCCGCCTCCTCGCTACCCTCCCCGGACGTCTGCTGCATGCACAGGGCAGCGGTTGTAGCGGGAAATACAATATACATACTATACCGGGAAGCACCCAAATTATCCGCAAGCTTTAACTCTTTTTGTTACGGCTGAGTAATCATATCTCTGGACTTCACCGACCATTCGTCAATCTGAAGCCCAGCGAGCCGAATTCTCCCTGCTGGCGGAGTTCCTGTCTGTGGCTTGAAGTTCAGCAAAATATATTAGATAAGCAGGTTGCAATACAAAGGACGGACTCATGATGGTCTCTTAAGGGGTCCTTGCTTGGCTGCGTTTCCGCCCAAGGCGAACCTGGTTGCCTCCAGTAGCAGGCTGTGAATTCGCCAGACCTTTTCCAACTGCTGCGCTGTTCATACAGACAGGATGGCTGATGATGCGTTTTCTGAGGATGGGAGCGTGGCTACAGGAGAGGATCTCTTGCTAGAGATTTCAAATATCCTCAATACAGGACTGGACAGAGCTTCCCTTTCAATACTAGTGGAGATGCTGCAACAGGGAGTTCACCCAGAAGCCCTAGCACGTGTCGTCCTGGAGCTTGATAGAGCCCTTCTTGACGTAAAGCAGAAAGAGGAGAACAGAGTACCACCAACACACGGGCCCGCTACACATAGGGGGCCGTAAACCCAGCAAGATACCTGAGAAGTATCTCTACGGTTTCTATGTAGTAGCTTCCTCCGGTTGTCTAGCAATCTGGCAACTTTTTTTTTTGCTGAGAACTATTTTCTTCGCTTAAATTATTGCCTGCTGTTCTAAAATACAGCTACTATCAGTTTTGTTGTGTTTGGCGGCGCCTGTACAGAGGCTCCGGCTGATCAAGTGGAAATGCACGTGGCACGCACTTATTCATGAAGTCAGTATTGTAAGCCAAACCGAATAAAAATAACAAAAGAATCATGGAAGACCAGCGTAACTCTGAAACAGCAACGTTGCATGGCGGTTCGTTGCAACTGCGCGCCGGGGCTTGGGTGCCCTATTCATGTGTAGTGCCTGCTTTATAGTTAATTAGAATACATTGGCAGTTTCACTGGATAGTGAGTGGGCGTCAGGTGCTACGCAAATTATTTATTTTTGTGCATCAGCTCAGGTTAGTTTAGCCAAAAGGAGGAAACCTTTCAGTAGTGCGAGCAGCATATATACCACTTGGGGTATATTACGCTGGACGCTTCCTTCCCCCTTTGTTCCCTACATAATAAACAATATATTTTTACCCGCTGCGCAGTTTTACGTATTTCCCTCGACGGTTTGGCTGGCCGGGCGACGGAATAAATAAATACTTCTATACATGAATTTGCTGATGCAATAAATATATGTCATGTGGCTGTTCGTGGGGCGAATGTTAATCAATGCCCAGTCAGTCAGTCTCGAAGGACTGGCTTGCAGACCACAACTAAAGCATCCCTAAAGACAAGAGGAAAACGAAAGCCAATGTCGCGTTTTTTCACGCGGCGCCTTCTGCATCCATAGCACCTTCTTCTTCGTCGAACTCTCCTTCTTCCTCGGCGGTGGCATCCTGAAAAAAACAAAAAAAAAGAGAATGCATGGTAAACAACTCCACTCTAGCAGTTGAAATCACTTTTCCATAGAATGAAACGAAAGCGATGCACTTTTTGTGAAAGTTTCCTACCTGGTACTGCTGATATTCAGAGACCAAGTCGTTCATGTTGGACTCGGCTTCGGTGAACTCCATCTCGTCCATACCCTCACCAGTGTACCTGTGAGATGGAAACCACAAAAAAACTACATAAGTCCCCGATGTATGATCTAGAACCCTTAAACTTGATCGAAAATAGCTACTTTTGCCGTCTGTAAAACCCTAAACCATCGAAGAGTGACAAAGAGCGAAACAGGTGAACTGACCAGTGAAGGAAAGCTTTGCGGCGGAACATAGCCGTGAATTGGTCAGAAACGCGCTTGAACATTTCCTGGATGGCGGTGGAGTTTCCGACGAAGGTGACGGACATCTTGAGTCCCTTGGGGGGGATATCGCAGACGCCAGACTTCATGTTGTTGGGAATCCATTCGACGAAGTAAGAGGAGTTCTTGTTTTGTACGTTAAGCATTTGTTCGTCGACTTCCTTGGTGCTCATGCGGCCTCTGAAGAGGGCGCAGGCCGTGAGGTAGCGGCCGTGGCGTGGGTCGGAGGCGCACATCATATTCTTTGCGTCGAACATTTGTTGGGTCAACTCGGGGACGGTGAGGGCGCGGTACTGCTGTGAGCCGCGGCTGGTCAAGGGGGCGAAGCCAATCAGGAAGAAGTGGAGACGAGGGAAAGGCACCAAGTTCACAGCGAGTTTTCTGAGGTCGGAGTTGAGCTGACCAGGGAAACGGAGGGAGCAGGTGACGCCGGACATTGCAGCGCTGACGAGGTGGTTCAGATCGCCGTAGGTGGGGGTGGTGAGCTTGAGAGTGCGGAAGCAAATGTCGTACAGCGCCTCGTTGTCGATGACCTGCACTTCGTCTGCGTTTTCGACCAGCTGGTGGACAGAAAGAGTTGCGTTGTATGGCTCAACGACCGTGTCGGACACTTTGGGTGAAGGGAAGACCGAGAAGGTCTCCATGATCCTGTCGGGGTACTCCTCACGGACTTTGCTAATGAGCAGAGTTCCCATACCACTCCCTGTGCCTCCACCGAGTGAGTGCGTCACTTGGAAACCCTGGAGGCAGTCGCAGCCTTCTGCCTCCTTGCGCACGACGTCGAGCACAGAGTCAATCAGCTCAGCACCCTCCGTGTAGTGGCCCTTCGCCCAGTTGTTCCCCGCACCTGTCTGCCCAAACACGAAGTTGTCGGGACGGAAGAGCTGGCCGAAGGGGCCGGAGCGCACGGAGTCCATCGTACCAGGCTCCAGGTCCATGAGGACCGCGCGAGGAACGTAGCGTCCTCCTGTGGCCTCATTGTAGAACACGGAGATACGCTCCAGCTGCAGGTCGCTGTCCCCCTTGTAGGTACCGGTCTGCGAAAGGCGAACAGAAATATAGATACACGAATATATTGAGGAATAGATGCATACTGATGATCATATCATGCACGCAGCTGTCTGATGCGCGAGTTTGCAGGTCAGATGCACATACTTCTGAGCAAAAAAAAAATATAATCGGACAATAGGGCACATCAAAAAAACATTTTGTTGAAAAATATTCATGAACCACGACGAAATTAGATGCAATGAAGGGCGGCCCCAGTGGCCTGCTTCTGAGGCGAGGTCGGCGGTCAGCGACTGACGGCTAGCAAAGGCACAAATGAGGCTCGACATGCAAAGATAGTGAAGAAAATTAAAAAGTGTTGCAGATGCTTGTGTGAATTAATGCGAGGCAATTAGTTTTCTTCATAAACGCAGCAGCCGATGGCTGTGCGCACGGGACCCGCCGCCGGCTGGACCCGCTACTGCACCCTTGCAAAGAGATAAAAGGCGGCTCTCAACGCTGCATATAATTGGATATGGAAACCTGCTGATGAGTGCTTTAGAAATCTGCATGTGCACCGACGCAAACCGAAGCAAAACGCGGAAAAATGCGGGGCTCCTCACCGGGGCTATGCCGTGTTCATCCGAAATAACCTCCCAGAACTTGGCGCCAATCTGGTTGCCGCATTGGCCACCCTGAACGTGAACAATTTCTCTCATTTTCGCGAAAGAAAGAAGTGACAGGGAAAGGAGGCAACTGCACGCAAAGGGCGGCGACGGGTCGGGTCAGCGCCCTGCTGCAGGCAAGAAGGGGCACCAGACACAGCAGGCGCACGCAACTGTGCCGATTCCTGCCTCGACAGAACAATCTTTCGGGCAAATTGAGTAAACGAAAACCAAAGAAGAGAACCTTTCGCCTGTGAGAATCAAGGCAATGGAGGCTTGCGCAACGGAGGGAGCATTCAGGGTTGTGGCGGTGGTGGTGCTGGGTGGCTGCTGACGGCCGCACGCGCAGCTCTGCTTACCAACAGGACCCCTTCTCTGTCCCGGTAATTAGATCAACTCTCCAATTCTAATTTGTCTTTGACTCAACTTGACACAATACACTGATTTTTGAGGGAGGTGGTCTAGTTTAAGTGAATTACTCACGCGACTAGGGCCCCCTCACCAAGCCGTGTAGCCGGCGTCGTGAGTTGCTGCCTCTGCTCTATGGCCTGAAAGATTAGTTTCTGTGAACATCGAGCTTAAATAGAATAACTTAGAACTTACCTTTGACTTTTATTGTCCTCAGGCCCTTAGCTTGCTCACTCTTTCAGAAGGTTTAGCCTGCATTACCACTTCACCCGCGGCCCTGCCGCCTGTTGGGTAGGGTTAGTGTGAGGGAAGTGCTGACTGATCATTTGCGCGGCATGAATATTTTAATATGTCATTTTAAAATTATATTTTACTTTTTATACGCCATACGGCTTATAACCGGTTGTTTGAGAGCAACTCCAGAACACACACCCTAATGCGCTGGAAGCAATGATTGGGTGGGCCCCTGTGTTTGCCTTCTATGTGGCCCAAGTTCGGCCTCCCAAAAGTCGAATGCGTTGGTTTCATTCTTTTAGTTATCGAATTCAACTCGCGATAATATCGCCTTCTCAAGCGTTGACTGTGGGTGGTTTAGCTTAACTCACGCTTCTCGTACCAAAGGCAGCAACAGCGGCGGCCTGAGGGTTCACCCCAGTCGCGGCAGTATAAAATAAGTGTGTTTTTCCTCGTCTTCTAAAAGCCGCTTCTCGTTCTTGCTTTCAACATTTGTATTTGTTTGTTTTGTGAGCACAATGCGGCCCACTCTCCACTTCACTCCGCAAGCTGCTTAGGCCTGTCCCTTCGACCCCAAACATCACCTTTAGTTCCGATGATCGTTTGTTCTTGCCCCAAAATTACCTGCTGATACAGTTGAAAGTTCTGCTCCTAAGCAATTACAAGGGATGAAAACGTAGATACACCGCTTTTCGATTCAGACCTCAGTCGTGGACTAGTGAACTCTTGCTGACCGAAAGCGATTTCTACACGTTATATATCATGAGTATTTGCGCTGCCCTCTAACACAAAGGATTATTGTACCTGAAGGGTTTAGGGTTTACTATATAGGGTTTAGGGTAGGCCGTCGCAGCACTTTTAGCCGTGGGGAATCAATATACCAGTACTCGCAGTTAAGAAAAATACTCCATTGGACTGTCGCTGCGAATAATCAGGGGATAGACTGCAAATTTCATGATTGAAATAGAGGCTTTCTACCCCGTGATGAATCTTATATTAGCTAGACGGCACTTCCTTCGCGATAGATCATGCGTTCGCCCCAGCAGCAGCAGCAGGGCTACGATGCTTATCCCGCAGAATGCAATTGTGGTGGTAGCGCCTTCGCCTTTGAACTCTTCAGGATAAGCTGACGAGCTGTAGATTGTGTCAATTTGATAACTTTTTGTAGACGTTGACGAAACAACGTACAAGACTGCATTGCCCATTGATAGCAGCGGTGGTGTTGATGCACATTCCCGTGAAGGGGAAAATAGATAGTTCATAATTAGGCACTTCGCTCCACCTTAAGGCTGTGTGCATTGGGGCGTTTCAACCAACTGCAAGAATAATCTTGCTCCAGAAGGTGTAGATCGCGTGGCTCCTGTCAGCACGGCTTTTAGGGAGTTGTTGTTGCCTTTATGCTGAAGGTTAAGCTATGGGGCTGAGAAATAGGCCACGACCAAAGCGGAAACGTCGTAAGTTTCCGTACGTTCTGCTCTTAGTAGCCTTAGGTCTTTGTTTATTTCTTCTTCTAGGCGTTCGAACAACGTGTGACGCACTTATGAGACACGGGACTCGTTCTACAGCCCATGTGGTGCGGGTAAAGCGCAAACAGCTGTTTGTTCGGCTAGAAACAATGTTTGCAAAACTCTCTGTAGGAGTTTTCCTCTCACTACCTGCATTGGCTTCAATTGTAGAAGAATGTGATTTGTCGCACCTACACTTAACTCTATTGGGTGGTTCCTTGTAATCGAGTAACGGTCGTGCTGAATCCGTACAAAGTTGTTAAGGGAAAACTACGAATGCTTGATTCCCAGGAGCTACCTAGCTAGCTAGTTGGCTAGTCCTAGCGGCTTGATACTGATTTCCTTTGATAGTTAACATAACAAACTCTATTTCCTCAAGGTGCCATTTTGTTTCTTAGCTCAGTTATAAGGATGCTTGCAGTGGGTAAGTGCTGAGAATAAATTTAGAGCTTCTTCCTGGGGATGACAGATGTTGAAATGGAAGCATTCTTCTGAGGTACTGACACAGCACTTCTGCCTTTTGCCAGCAAACGCATAACTAAAGCGAGAATTCATTTAGGATGGCCTGCAGGTTTATGCCTCCGCCTCTGTGTTTCACAAAGAGTTGCCTAAGCCCACAGTCTTGTCGCAAAAAGATTCGCTTGAACCCAGTGCTGATCTGCCTCTTTGCTCTTCAGTGTTTGATGTTTCAGGGGAGCAAGCGCCTGTCGTAGTAATAGCCGTAAATCGTGTTAAATCTAACTGGCATTTATTCCTAGGAATTTCTGAACATTGCTTCGAAGCAGCAGATCTGCGAATTCCGTATGTAGGAAACAAGTTGAAAGCTCACGCACGCATCCCTGCACTAGCTAAGTCCCCAAAGGGAACCAAACAGGGTGCAGCTGCAACCCAATATAATAGATGATATGAAAATTCGCTAAACCAACTGTCTTGTGGTCTACAAATTGTATAGACCCACTGTCTCGTGGATCAAGCTGCGTCTCAACACACTGTCTTAGGACTTAACCCTAAACCCTGATCACCAAACCCTAAACCATAGACCCTAAAACAATAAACACTAAAAACATAAATATTACAGTCTAATGTAGAGAATAAATGTGCATGAGCGAGCAGCGCAGCGCGTTCTTCGTCAGGAACTCATGGGGTTTAATGCACGACGAACGAGTGCAGTTCACGACATGAATGCGGAATAAATTAACCAATTATAATTGTTGTTGTATTGCGAGTAAAAACGAATATTTGTGTACCATTGTAGATATATTTTGACGCGTAATTCATTGGTTTATTTCGACAATGCGTCTATGCTTAGAATAAACGGCTGGAGTTGCCGCCGCATTAAGCCCGGCTCACCGGCCAGTTCTATGCTTTCTTTTTCTCCACATTAGTCAGTAGCTCTCTTTGGTGCATAGCCTCGTTCAAATATTTTACGGGTTTTATTTATGACGTTCTGCCCGTGGAGTTGTGCAAAGGGAAACCGTGCAGCATCTGCTTGCCGTGTCAATCGACTTGTCTGTCCCGTACAGCTTTTGTTCTCTACTCTTATACTTCACCTCGAAGCAGTGAAGCAAACTTTACATTAATAGAGAAAGTTTGCTAGAATGCTCCGTTTACAACCGGTCCACTGACTCTCTCCCTAGTACTCCGCGTCTAGCTGGCGTTGGCGGGGTTGTCTTCTATCTACCAGCTCTGACAGGAGCAGCTTTCCCTCTGCATACTGCGGCTGTAAGCCTCATACCCTCCTTGTCACGCTTCGGAAGGAAGGCAAAATGAAGAAGAAATTGTTGGCCATAGCAGCGCTCTCTGCAGCGCATTCTGGGCTTCGCGTTGCTGAGTTTGCAGCAGCAGCCAGTGGTCCGTCTGTTGCAGTTTACGACGATGAGGGTTTTGCCGATCTCCCCCCTTCAGCTGAAGCATCACCGTATATGCAGGAGAATGGTGAGGCCACGTTGCGCATACCGCGTGAAGACGTGGAGACAGCAGCAGTGGCGGAGAGCTCCGACCGGACGCCAAAAGAAGATCCAGAAGAACGCCTGTGGCATGTTGAGTCGGCACAACCCACGGTTTCTTCAGCTGCCGCTACAGTTGCTGCTTCAACAGGTGCGGCGGCAGGCTCCGGTGCTGGAGAGGCGCAGGAAGCGGTGGTGGATGACATGGACTCCCCGACAAGTAGTCTCACCCGTTCAGATTCGTCTGATATTCGTCAGAGAGGTGTGCAGGGAAATTCTGCTCCGTTGACGAATGGTGGAAGCGGCACTGAAGGGGGAGAGGAGGGGCAGCGCCTGTTGCTGCTAGACAAAGACCCTCTGTCTCCGTTGTTGTTGTTGTCGAGGGCCCCTCGGGGTGTAGGCTTGAAGTCCTTTGTCCTGGGTCTAGGATGCTTGTTGCTTGCTGGTTTGTTTGCGTTGGAGGGGGATGACTCTATACCTCGCGGCCCGGCTCATGCACTGGCCGAGTTTTGGGATTTGGACCGCGAAGACGTTTCCGCTATTGCTTTCACTCTGTTGGTGCTACTGAGCACTGTTTCGCTTATTTCTGCGGTGTACAGACACTTCAGTAGGGTTCGAAGACAACGGGAATGGATTCAAAAGGCAGAAGAAGGGATAGAAGCAGCCAAAAGAATTCATCAAACCCGGGTGAAACAAATCTTGGCTCGCCAAGAGCCTGCAGACATGGCTATCTTGCAGACTGGCAAGCCTTACTAAGTATACCTGTTGTAAGCATGCCTTATGTGTGGCATGTGTAACAGTATGCTTTGGATAAAATATCAGGATATATGCCCTGGGGCATAATATTATATAATTAATATATTTAATTCTCCGAAGCAAAACAGAAAGTGAGGGCGTCAAACGGGGACTGACTGCCGAAGGCAAGGGGGGCGAAGATCCTCCCGACTGCCTTTCTAAGGTATACATATCTTCGTATACATATGTCCGTCGTGAGTATATATGCATATATATGTAATATATATATATATATATATATATATATATATATA